TTCTACTTGTTAAAGGTCGGGTGTGGGGGGAGGGGAATTCTAATCCCGGAATGGACTTTTCCATCAGTCCTTGGTCAGGGTTGGGATTCGGGGCTACCAGGGGTGCTTTGCAATCTGTCACATGCGGTGGGAAGCACCATAGAGTATGAACTCCTTTGGAGATTGAAATCTGGAGCTGAAGACACCCGGGAGAGGACTGGGAACCTTTGGCCCGGGAGACAAACACTACCAACCAGCCTTTGAATGGTAGGGACATGTTGGCCTCTGTTGGCTAAAGAAAGTCTACCATGCTAAGTGTGTTCGATTGCATGGATTGGTATTGGGCATAGTGAAGGGGGATGTTCCTACGGGACGTGGCTTATTGTCCCACGCTTCCCATTGGTAATAGCACTCACATGATCCCGGCACACCTTTGCTCCCTTCACCCCAGTTGCTGCTACCCCAGGGCTCGTCTCCAGTCACATTGAGTGAAGAAGAAGGGCAGCATAGCTGGTACTGAGGGGGTTAAAACATGGAGCTTAGTAATGGTACACCAGATCCATGATTGTACAGGTCACTCAAAGAGGGAGGCTGAGGTTAATGTACAGATGTGGAGGATGAGGGAGGTGAAGGGGTTAATACATAGGTCAGAGCAGAGATAGAATGGAGCTGACATATACTGTAGAGGAGGTGAAAGGGTTACACATGCAGACACCATGCCTTAAGCAGAGGTGACTATTTCAATTGAGCTGCATTGAGACTGCAGTCAGTCAGATCCTGATCTGATAGTCTGTGCTCATTTGGTTTTCCCTAAATGCTGCAGCTGCGGACCGGGAACATGTCTCAGTACCTGTGATTGGCGCTGCGCGCTGTCAGCTTCCTGGCGGGCTCGGCACGTGGAGCTGCGCACACGCCCGAGACCATCACTACAGGTGATAAGGGCGAGTATTGTTGAACAAGCAGGTTGACCCGGGTGATACGGAGGGGTATTGGTGATGTCCCAGGTTGACCCGGGTGATAAGGGGGGAGGGGTATTGGTGATGTCCAAGATTAACCCGGGTGATAAAGGAGGTATTGGTGATATCCAGAGTTGACCCGGGTGATAAGGGGGGTATTGCTGATGTCCATGGATGACCCGGGTCATAAGGGGGGGGTATTGCTGATGTGCATGGATGACCCGGGTCATAAGGGGGGGGTATTGCTGATGTGCATGGATGACCCGGGTCATAAGGGGGGGGTATTGCTGATGTGCATGGATGACCCGGGTCATAAGGGGGGGGTATTGCTGATGTGCATGGATGACCCGGGTCATAAGGGGGGGGTATTGCTGATGTGCATGGATGACCCGGGTCATAAGGGGGGGGTATTGCTGATGTGCATGGATGACCCGGGTCATAAGGGGGGGGTATTGCTGATGTGCATGGATGACCCGGGTCATAAGGGGGGGGTATTGCTGATGTGCATGGATGACCCGGGTCATAAGGGGGGGGTATTGCTGATGTGCATGGATGACCCGGGTCATAAGGGGGGGGTATTGCTGATGTGCATGGATGACCCGGGTCATAAGGGGGGGGTATTGCTGATGTGCATGGATGACCCGGGTCATAAGGGGGGGGTATTGCTGATGTGCATGGATGACCCGGGTCATAAGGGGGGGGTATTGCTGATGTGCATGGATGACCCGGGTCATAAGGGGGGGGTATTGCTGATGTGCATGGATGACCCGGGTCATAAGGGGGGGGTATTGCTGATGTGCATGGATGACCCGGGTCATAAGGGGGGGGTATTGCTGATGTGCATGGATGACCCGGGTCATAAGGGGGGGGTATTGCTGATGTGCATGGATGACCCGGGTCATAAGGGGGGGGTATTGCTGATGTGCATGGATGACCCGGGTCATAAGGGGGGGGTATTGCTGATGTGCATGGATGACCCGGGTCATAAGGGGGGGGTATTGCTGATGTGCATGGATGACCCGGGTCATAAGGGGGGGGTATTGCTGATGTGCATGGATGACCCGGGTCATAAGGGGGGGGTATTGCTGATGTGCATGGATGACCCGGGTCATAAGGGGGGGGTATTGCTGATGTGCATGGATGACCCGGGTCATAAGGGGGGGGTATTGCTGATGTGCATGGATGACCCGGGTCATAAGGGGGGGGTATTGCTGATGTGCATGGATGACCCGGGTCATAAGGGGGGGGTATTGCTGATGTGCATGGATGACCCGGGTCATAAGGGGGGGGTATTGCTGATGTGCATGGATGACCCGGGTCATAAGGGGGGGGTATTGCTGATGTGCATGGATGACCCGGGTCATAAGGGGGGGGTATTGCTGATGTGCATGGATGACCCGGGTCATAAGGGGGGGGTATTGCTGATGTGCATGGATGACCCGGGTCATAAGGGGGGGGTATTGCTGATGTGCATGGATGACCCGGGTCATAAGGGGGGGGTATTGCTGATGTGCATGGATGACCCGGGTCATAAGGGGGGGGTATTGCTGATGTGCATGGATGACCCGGGTCATAAGGGGGGGGTATTGCTGATGTGCATGGATGACCCGGGTCATAAGGGGGGGGTATTGCTGATGTGCATGGATGACCCGGGTCATAAGGGGGGGGTATTGCTGATGTGCATGGATGACCCGGGTCATAAGGGGGGGGTATTGCTGATGTGCATGGATGACCCGGGTCATAAGGGGGGGGTATTGCTGATGTGCATGGATGACCCGGGTCATAAGGGGGGGGTATTGCTGATGTGCATGGATGACCCGGGTCATAAGGGGGGGGTATTGCTGATGTGCATGGATGACCCGGGTCATAAGGGGGGGGTATTGCTGATGTGCATGGATGACCCGGGTCATAAGGGGGGGGTATTGCTGATGTGCATGGATGACCCGGGTCATAAGGGGGGGGTATTGCTGATGTGCATGGATGACCCGGGTCATAAGGGGGGGGTATTGCTGATGTGCATGGATGACCCGGGTCATAAGGGGGGGGTATTGCTGATGTGCATGGATGACCCGGGTCATAAGGGGGGGGTATTGCTGATGTGCATGGATGACCCGGGTCATAAGGGGGGGGTATTGCTGATGTGCATGGATGACCCGGGTCATAAGGGGGGGGTATTGCTGATGTGCATGGATGACCCGGGTCATAAGGGGGGGGTATTGCTGATGTGCATGGATGACCCGGGTCATAAGGGGGGGGTATTGCTGATGTGCATGGATGACCCGGGTCATAAGGGGGGGGTATTGCTGATGTGCATGGATGACCCGGGTCATAAGGGGGGGGTATTGCTGATGTGCATGGATGACCCGGGTCATAAGGGGGGGGTATTGCTGATGTGCATGGATGACCCGGGTCATAAGGGGGGGGTATTGCTGATGTGCATGGATGACCCGGGTCATAAGGGGGGTATTGCTGATGTCCATGGATGACCTGGGTGATAAGGGGGGTATTGCTCATGTCCATGGATGACCTGGGTCACAAGGGGGGGTATTGGTGATCAAGCAGGTGCAAAGATGTGATACACCAAGACGAGGTCTGAATACTTGTCAGCGTGTGGTCAGAGAAACGCGCCGAGGTCGGTACAGCAGAGAAGACACGGGGAGAATTATCTTTATTTAGAACTCATCATAATCTCCTACAGTGTACATAAAAAGATCAGCAGCCAACATCATACAATGTATGTGATATAAACATGTTTCCTTACAATGTTATTATTGCAAATCTCCTGAAAATGCTTATATATGTTCTCAGACCTGTTACATGTAGTTGTAGCTGTTTCTGCCAATAAAATGTTTAAAGCTGAACCCAGGAATAATGAGATATCATCTAAATACAGGAAGCCCTGTGTATTTCTTCCAGATCTGTGCAAAACTTGGAGCTTCCTGTAATAAAGACCGGTTACTGCTGTTCTCTCTTCTTGTGCAGGGTGACTGGTCTTGTCTCTGCCCCCTCCTGTAATGTAAACCGGTCACTGCTGCTCTCTCTCCTTGTGCAGGGTGATTGGTCTTGTCTCCGCCTCCTCCTGTAATAAAGACCGGTCACTGCTGCTCTCTCTCCTTGTGCAGGGTGACTGGTCTTGTCTCCGCCCCCTCGTGTAATAAAGACCGGTCACTGCTGCTCTCTCTCCTTGTGCAGGGTGACTGGTCTTGTCTCCGCCCCCTCCTGTAATAAAGACCGCTCACTGCTGCTCTCTCTCCTTGTGCAGGGTGATTGGTCTTGTCTCCGCCCCCTCCTGTAATAAAGACCGGTCACTGCTGCTCTCTCTCCTTGTGCAGGGTGACTGGTCTTGTCTCCGCCCCCTTCTGTAATAAAGACCGGTCACTGCTGCTCTCTCTCTCCTTGTGTAGGGTGACTGGTCTTGTCTCCACCCCTTTCTATAGTGGGTGGCGCCTGATAGGCCTCTCCCACAGCTCTTCTCTCTGCACAGGCTAGGTACAGCACAGTGATGATGTCACTGCTACCTTTACAAGGTAAAATGTGTGCAAAGGCATGTGAGAAACACAAAGTGAATTCATCATTGAGGAAAATATTACACAATTCAGCTTTAAACCCAAAGACAAAAACGTAATATATTGCAGCTGACCAGTCCTTGGATGTGGTGGCTGCATTAGTTTTATTTTTAAGCCAAGTGCATTTTGCTGCAAGTACAGAATTCCTGTGGATATGACCAGAATTCCAGTGTCCTCATAACTTCCTGTGTACTGAAATTACACTTTTAAAAAATGCATCAACCTTTACTAAAGACCTCCCCCTCTGTGTAACGGAGATGAGGAGAGGGGGAGGTGTTTGCAGTCCACATAAGAGCAGCCTAGGGTGACAACGCTGATCCTCCATTAACACAGTACAGTAGTGAGCGTTGTCACTCTAGGACAGGAAGTGCATCCCTGGAAGGATCACCTGAGAAAAGAAAACTAATGCAGCCACCAAATCTAAAGTCTGGGAAGCCGCGATATGTTACATTTTTGGTTTTTGGGGTTCGATGCACTTTAATGTATGTTGGCTGTGAATTTATTTGTCCGGTGTGGTGGACAGTTCCGATTCATTTTGTCCTAAGCACAGTTCCGGAAGCTCGCTAACCCTGTCCAGTCCCATCTCCAAGACCAGAGAGGTGAGGACCTCATCGTCCACCCGATCCAGGTCCAGAATCCCGGCACCGATAGTACGAGGCCCCTGGCTGTTCAGGGCCCAGCGCGGGATGTCTGTACCGCCCTGGTACTGACTGTTAAGCCTCTGGAGCTGTACGCTTGCCAGCAGGTGCTGCGCTGACGGCAGTCCAAAGGGGGTTGGCTTGGGTGCTGGGACACCCGGGGATACCAGGAGGCCTGGATTTGGCACGGGAGGGGTCCCTATAGCTCCCGTCTTCTTGGAACTCATGGTAGGGGTCAGGCAGGGACTCTTTGCAACTGTTTCTTTGTTCTTCATCACTTTGTCCTGATTCTTATACAATGATGGCCAGTCTATGGAGGAAACAATGAGACACAATCCATGAAATATATCTTCAAATCTGATTCATCGTAAAGAAACAAATCCTAAAATAAATCATTCTTAACCCCAATCTGGCAGCAGTGTCCACCTACACCCAATATCAATTGACCATAATCACCCCCCCCTCAATAACTGACCATAATCCCTCCATACCTCCCCATGTCAATAACTGACCATAATCCCTCCATACCTCCCCCCACCACCCCCATGTCAATAACTGACCATAATCCCTCCATACCTCCCCATGTCAATAAATGACCACAATCCTTCCCTCACTCCCTATTTCCATTACTAAACAAATGCTTTAAAGGCTTAAAGCCCACACATTACTAGTATCCTGGTCATAGGTGGAACATTGTTATCTGAGTTTGCCCCACCTGGACACCAAGAATTCATCTCCTTGCCGTAATTGCCAACTCTGTTCCCGTTTTACCGGTAGTATTGGGTGTTCCCAAAAATACAAGGGAAGACTAGGAAGCTACGGCCTGGGGAGCAAACACAACCAAGTGTCCCTTCCATGGTAGAAAGTTTCCTCTGAAAGAAGAAGGCATACTATGGTCGGGGTAAAAGGCAGGTGGACATGGTCTATTGTGACAAGTTCTTTACATGTTCCAGCATCCTTTGCGGCTCTTGCCATTTGGTCATATGACATCTCATGAAGTTGGCGCTGGAAGACTTCCCTCTACCAGGTCCTATGATTGTAGGTCTTAATGAGGTGGCTTTATGATGCCGAACGTGTTATTAACTGTTGGTCCCACTCAGGTCAAGGTCTATGGTCTCCACTCAGGGCCACCATCCCAACATATCCTAATAGTACTGACCCAAGGACCAAATACATTCCTGCCACCCACACCATTCCTACCCTTTTGCCCCCCCCCCCATGCATGTTCCAGTGCCACATTCCACATGTCAAAAAAATTACTAGGGAGAGAGGAACCCCTTGATATAGGCCCCACCTGGTGTGAGAGCCTGGGAACTCACCAATAGAGTCCTTAACAGAAGACATGCCGGGGAAGGGGGGTGTTTCGGGATTGCCACTACAAATCTACCAAAGGCTGAAATATACTATTTTTTGTGGACGGACCCTTTAAGCAAGCGAGGTCATTGAGCAAATATCATGTCCTTATGTTACTAACTAGAAGAACCTCGTTGTTGGAAATATCCTCAACCACTGCTGATCGGCGGCTGGGAGGTGGTTTGGCTCAGTCCTGCATACAAAACTATTTTGGTTCAAGATATTTTTAGAATATGTTGCTGTAAAAGCCTGCTTGGGATCACGCCACTACACGTTAGATGCGAATGAGGTCAAGAATCCAACTCGGCTGGCCTAAAATGCAGAAGTCTGAGACATCCCGCTGCTGATGCACTCCCGTGTTTTGGATGCTGAGTGACCCATTGCCTTTTATGTCGGAGATCTCAAACAGATGCCCTGACGTTCTTCTGTAGAAGTGCCAGATACAGCTTGGGGTGTATTGGTCCATCAGCCAACGCAAACTGTCCAGACGTACTTCCATGCTTTACTGTCGGGGAAAGATTTAGTGATAGCATGCAGTGCTATGTTATTGATGAGCATAGCGCCATACCGTTTACGCATGAGTCAGCATTTGTCTCACCTGTCCACAGGGCTGGATTTACTCTTTGCTGCCCCAAGGCCAGGTTCCGCAATGCGCACCCCTACCCGCCAACGCCCCCCCACCCCCAATGGAGAATGGCAGACCTGCAGGCTTCATACAGGTGATCTCATCGACATCGCCGGGATCAATCTTACAAAACAAGCGGCGGCTTCCATGCTGTACATTCAGCTCGGCTTGCCGAAAGCAGGGTTAAATGTAGAAAACATCTACCCCCCCCGGACACCCGGAAATGCATGTCCTGGACACCGGGAGATAGGAATTCCCATAAACGCTTGTTCAGGGAATTGGTTATGGTGGACTCATGGCATTTCTCAGGGCAGGTTTCCTCATGGTGACAACAGCGAGCCATGTCTGTGCAATGTGTGCCACTTATCACCTTCACTGGGAGCCTGTGTGACAGGGTGACAACACAGGGGCACATTAAAGGAGAACTATGAGGGGAGTGCTTATATATATATATATATATATATACATACACATATATACACACACATACTAAACTTATTTTTGTGAAAACACCATAGGCAAACAGCTGATGTAACTTACCCCTGAACAGAGCCAAGCTGAATACCAGAACCCGGAGTCTGACTTGTGTTTCCGAGACACTGGAAATACTTTGCCGGCCCCTTCACGAGATGTTCCTTTTGGAATTCATAAACAAGGATCCTATTAATGTGCTCCTTCCTTTCATTGTTACGTCCAGGTCGGTGTATTCTTTCCAAAGACGCACAACAGCCTCTGTAGAACTAAACAAACATTTTCAGTACGAAGCTGAGATCAAGAACCCGGGGGGGGGTGGGACGAGACTTCGGCAAGAGGAAAGTTCAGGAGATACAAAGTGTTTACTGAAGAAGTGGTGGACGCTGGGAAGAGACCTCCAGCAGAGACAAGGGACCAATCAGAAGTCAGGGAACTTGCACATTATTGGGATGAACATATAATAAAATGTCTTGACGTTGGGTCAGTCCTGTTGGAGCACTTGGTCTGTGTCTGAGGTCAGTCTGGACGTTGGGTCAATCCTGTTGGAGCACTTGGTCTTTGTCTGAGGTCAGTCTGGACCGGTGGGTCAATCCTGTTTGAGCACTTGGTCTTTGTCTGAGGTCAGTCTTGACGTTGGGTCAATCCTGTTGGGGCACTTGGTCTTTTTCTGAGGTCGGTCTTGACGTTGGGTCAATCCTGTTGGAGCACTTGGTCTTTGTCTGAGGTCAGTCTGGACCGGTGGGTCAATCCTGCTGGAGCACTGTGTCTTCGTCTTAAGGTCAGTCTGGACGTTGGGTCAATCCTGTTGGAGCACTTGGTCTTTTTCTGAGGTCAGTCTGAACGTTGGGTCAATCCTGTTGGAGCACTTGGTCTTTTTCTGAGGTCATTCTTGGCATTGGGTCAATCGTGCAGAATGTGCAGACCAGAGACGAAGCAAAGGAAATTGGTGACGCGGCGGCGTAATTCATGCTTTGCTGCTGCCTGCCGTGATGCAGCACTGAGTTATCCTTCAGACGCCAAAGGATGAAGCTCATACCTTGAGGACACTTGGCGTTCCTTCAGATCTGTTTGACTTCAGCCCAGTTTTAATCGAATGTAGCATGGTCACAACTGTCCGTATGGCAAGGTTTAATATTTATGGGCAGGGTAACGTTACCCTATCAAGAAAAAAGAAGACCAATTGTTTGCTGCCTTTAAAGAGAAAAAAAAAAAAAAAAGGAATCTGGGCCGCCCTCCCTTTTCTAAGTCCCTCAGGTCTCTGAACAAAGGGGAAATTGTCTTGTGAAATAAGGGAGAATGTGTTGGGTTATTGCTCGGGGGACCTGAAATAAAGCAGCGTGCCTCCTGGGTTACTGCCAGGGGGAAGATTACACTTTGACAGGAGACGAGCCGGCACGGTCTGCCTTTTAGATCAGGTTATCAGTGTGCGGAGCCTCCACTACAATAAATCCTACAGTTGTGCTGACTTGCAAATTGTGTAAAATGTTGGCCATTTTTTTTGCTGCACCAGCGCCACAATACACCAAACAGCACCTAGAGTAACCTCAAAACGTCCGAAAAATTTTAATTTGGAAAGACGAGACCAAAATATAATGTTACGGTTGCAACCATAAACACTATGTTTGGAGAGGAGTCAACAAAGCCTATGAAGGGAAGCACACCATGCCTACCGTGAAGCACGGAGGTGGATCTCCGCTGTCTTAGTGGTTTTAGAGCTACAGCAGTTTAGCAAGGTGAATGCATCATACTATCAAAGAATATTGGAGGAAAATTTGGATTCTTCAGACTGGAACCTGCATGTGGGGCCGACTTGGACTTTTCAAAACGCCAGTGATCTGAAACATAAGGCCAAGTTGACCCTTCGGTGGTTGCGGCTGATAAGAGTGAAGGTTCTGGAGTGGCCATCACAGTCTCCTGACCTCAACATCATGGAGACACTTTAGGGCAGAGGTGGGTAAATCCGGCCCCCCAGCTGAGCTTTAACTACAAATCCCAAGAATGGGCAGATTTACCAGCAATAAAAAGGACCTCGTTCGCAACTCTTACAAAAGGCCACAAAACAACAGTCATTGATCCTAAAGGGGGCAATACAAAACCTTAAGATCTAAGGGTATGCAAACTTTTGAAAAGGACTTCCTAGTCTAGGCTTGCCTTTAAGTTGGGGGTGACAAAGACCACTTCTTAAACTCAAGTTATCCAAAATGGAGCTCATACGATTACCCAGACCCCCCC